CCCCCCCCCAAATTCATTTTTTATTGCAGATTCTGGATCCTCTAGGGTAGCGCAGCACAACCCCATCTTCCAAAAAAAAAAAAAAAAATCATTGCTGGGTTTTGCGTCGCCCGGTTTCGCCGGGCGGACCCCMCCGGGYCCAACCGGCCGGGCGGCGGCCCAGCCTGCCCAATAGGCCTCTTAGGGCAGCCATTTCTTATGGAAGGCCCCGAAATGCTGAGAGCGGGCTGTGGCCTTGCATAACCCAAGTAGGCTCTACCACTTTCAGAAGAAGCAGAAAAGTGTGGCTGGAGATAGATGATTGTGGATGGATAAGTAGATTTCTTGGCTTGGCAGCTTTGGCAGGGTACATGGCTGCTAAATGTTTGCTTTGCAACGTCTGGTGCTTTCCTGTGTTTCCTGAGTTTTTTCTATTCAAACCACGAGTACCTCAGAAAGTCGCTTCTGCAGCCGCGACTTTTGATGGATGAATGGGACACTACCGGAGCGCCCAAATTCAGTCCAGTTGAAACGCCTCCACTTCATTTTTTCATGTGGCCGATATATGGGAAAGGTACTGGTGGTTTAAAAAGGGGAAAATATCCTGTGCAGTTATTGCTGTGTGCATTCAGGTGACAGTGAGCTTACTTCACTCATCGTATTGGGTGACAAACTTCCTGTCTTTCCTGAGGTTTTTCTATTTAAACGTGGCAAAATATCTTGTGCAGTTGTTACTCTGTGGATGTACATGGTGGCACATAGTCAAGTTGGCAGTGAGCTTACTTCACTCATTGTATGACCTTTCTTTGTGTGCAGTGCATTGGGTGACGAAAAGAAGCGATGTACTCATGTTCCATACCGTGAGTCCAAGCTTACTAGAATGCTGCAGGCAAGGTTATATGCTTACATTCTCTCAGTGAAAAGGCCTGTTTTGGAGTTTCCACATTTTGTCATCGTAGGTTATATGTTGAGTTGGAGAATTGCGGACCTGTGGTAGGGTGCGTCGCTCTACTTTTTCCATTCTGGCTATGGACAAAGGCTTCTGCTGATTGCACTCAGATGATGGCACCCAATTCTGAAGGCCTGTTCTAAGCACTGGTTCACTCTGATGGAGTGACACATTTTGTCCTAAAGCTGCGGTATCAGTTAGGGGTGTTTTCACAGGTGGTGGCAAGAAGAGATGGTACCGAGCTGTGGGCCATTGTCTGGCCAAGTGTTGGAACCAAGAGTCAGGAGATAGAGACAAATAACCCCAAACAATAGCAATAATTGGCGCTGCTTTGTAGATGCCTGCTGCAGTGGGCTTCGCTGAGCATGTGTGTGCGTGCATGCATGCATGTGTGTGTGTGTGTGTGTGTGTGTGTGTGTATGTGCATGCATGCATGTGTGTGTGTGTGTGTGTGTGTGTGTGTGTGTGTGTGTG